ATCGCCGAGCCGTTTCCGCTGTCCAGGCTAGTGCCGGAGTTCTCGAACCTGTACATGACGTACAACGGCTCACTGACTACGCCGCCGTGCTCAGAATCCGTGACCTGGGTCATCCGGAAAGAACCGCTGACAGTCTCCAGGCATCAGGTATGTCTGTTCAGGATGTATTTTCCACAGGAAGGGGTCAGTGCCAGGGCAGTCGCTGCGGACAACGCCCAACAACATGACCGAGGACAGAAGTTCTAAGATTCGAGGAGCTGAGGTCGGTGAGGATGTCGATCGCGGTCTTCTGTCTTGTGACGTCGCGTAGTCTTCTGGGCGTCGGAGCGTATTCAGAGTTGATGTATGGCTGGCGACCAGAACACAGACGACCACAGCCAATATTAAGTTTGTTTTGTGGAATTCTTGGTTGCTTGAAAAAGTGTGTCGATACGGTTACATCAAATAAGACCGGAAATTGAGTACATTAATCTGGCGAAAGAAAAATAAATTGGATTCACATACTTCGATCGGAGTCCGTGGCTACATTCAGGAAAACCGAGTCGGCTTTCCTCGACATAGTTCGTGCTGACATTTTGTTTTTCAGAAAGGCGGGACAGCTGCAGCGCCGTGTCCAAGGTTAATTGTGGGTCGAAACCCAAACTGCTCGTCGCGCAGCAGCCCGCGCTCCTTCACCTCGTGTAGCACTCTAGTTAATATGATCTACTCAAAGAGCTTGCCGACCGTGTCAAGAAGACTGATTGGTCTGTAGGAAGAAGGTAGCGTGGGGTCCTTCACCGGTTTCAGTATGGGCACCACGCGAGCGTGTTTCCATGCCGAGGGGAAGTTCTGCCTGCGGACGACAGCGTGAGAAAGGTTACCGCGCGCCTTGGCAGACGTCTCAGGAGCCTGTTCGGAACACCAGCCGGGCCCGGCGCCTTGCCAACTTCGAGTCCCTTCCTGGCCTGAAAGGGTTCCGAGGGACTTGTTAATTCGACTCACTTGCGGGGGGCATACTCGTATGCCCGCATTGCCTCGTTGACCATGGCAATAACTGCCGGAGCTGTTGCAGCTACTACAATAAAAAGAAAGTTAAAATTGTCAGACGACAAGTGCAATGTTTATCTTTCTCTTACGAACGCAGGTTGACGAGTTCAGAAGTCTTCTGGCACAGGATGGCCGGACAATGAAGCGCAACTGGCGACCAACACAACCCCTCAACGGTCGAATCGTCGTGCAAATCCGATGAAGGAAGAACCGCCCGGCGCTTCAGAAGTTGCGTTGGAAGAAGAAAACATCATCGCGGATCGAGGTTTCCCTCCTGCATACGTCTGCACATGCCGATTCAATTTCCAGATTGTTTTTTTTATGACGACAAGCAAGTAAGAGACGGACGGAATTCTTTGTCTCTACGTTGATTTACAGCTCTACAGACCCGACATGTTTCTCAAGTTTCTTCTTCTTCTACTGTACGTCTGGGCGTAACAAATTTGTACGTACTCGACGCAGTCGTCTTCCGCGCACAAGCAGTCAAGGGCGAGAGCGGACGGTCACTTTTTCTTTGTAGTTGTTATTGGGTTACTCAACTCTACAAAAAAATTGTTAATGCGACTGTGGATACTTCATTACTGTTAACTAAGTCTCTACACATAATTTCTACTGCAGCGTCATAATTACTTTCTTGAGTCGTGAGCAGAAATGTAGGCTAGAGAACAGAGTCCGACAGATATCGCCCAAACTATCGTCACCTAACCCAAAGGTCTACCGTCCCGGTTTGTGTCCTGCAGGCTTCCTGTGCCACGGAAATTGTACAAAAACAAGGCACTGTCGATTTGTTTGTCACACGAGAATCGGAAAATCCATCGCTAAACTCGTTCTGACAGGTTAAGCAAGAACGAGACGCCAGGCAGAGCCTGACAATGAACACTCGTTGCACTTTTTAAAAATACGTCCTTCTACTTCGATTGTTGAAAGATAATCGACGGACTGGCGCGAGCAGGTCACAGCACGACGCGACCTGCGTGGGGTCTTGTACAGTCACATCGAAATTGTATGTTTATTAATAAAATCGAATTTTACTCAGTTTCAATAAAAATCGTTACATTTCGATCATCCTGTCGCCTCCGGTAATCTGATCTCCACCCGTTATCAACTTTCATTTTGCCTACAAGCCATTTCACGTATTATAATACCTTCCCTTTTACTTGATACTAGACCACCTACATTATACTGGAAAAACCTGCGCCCCTTCCTTCCATTGCATCCAAAATCTGAGTTTTCTTCTTGCAAATTTGTTTCCTTGTATTTAAGGTGGGGAAAACATGAACGCTAGGATTCCATCCATATGCCACGCTGGGCAGAAATTATCCCTTGCAGTTTATCTACACGCTCAAGAGCTCTTTTATGCAAGGCGTGTCTTTTTTTAATGTATTTAGATGAAAATATTTCATATTTCTGGACGGAAATAAAAAAAGTAAATTAAGACCCAAACTAATATTCTCTGTAAGATTTGAGGTTTTAATATTCTCTGCGTTTAGTTTTCATTAAATTGGTAAATTCTTAGTTTTTAAATTGTTTAGGCTGGTTATTCAGTTCGGATTTTAGCACAGCACCTTAATTTGTCTTCCGTTACGTTAGGTTCGAATAGAATTTAGGTTAGGATTTTAGAATCGTACAATACGAGGTCGTAATGATTGTAATCCGCAGTATATTAAACAAATGCAATTGACAAGTATTTATGAGAACCAAATGAAATTAGTACATCCTCTACTAAATTTTCAGGAAGTGAATCTTTCATGTCGTCGAAACTTTGCCCTTGCCCGTGTACAGGGGCACACGCGTGCATTATAGTCGGCGCAGTAGTTTTTGGCCGGCGGAGAAGCTATCGGAGCTGGCGGACGGGCCTAGTCTGTGTACTGAGGTGGCGCGGTCAGCGTATTTCTTTTGTTTGGGCGTTCAGTCACACAAGCTCCTCGGTGCAGTCAGCATTATACTATCGCAAAAGACTCGCTCCTAGCCTCCCCCTTGAAAATTCCACCGGCCAAAAACTACTGCGCCGACTATAGAACTGGTTAAAATGCAGTCACGGGACAAAAGACAGGTGTAATATCTCGAATGCAAAACTGCAGTCGGCATGTTGATGTAGATTACCTTACTTATTACAATTGTATGCGCAATGGAGTGTACGTAAATACGAGAACTGAAATCCTATTCTCTGCTTACGAGTCTGCATTCAAAACACATTTTAGTTTAACGGCTATGACTAATCATCATTTTAAGAGGTCCGCCTTACCGGTATTATTCTTCATATTATGAACTTCATTCGACTGCCCACACGAACCAAAGTACCCTGAAGAATGTGGGTGTTGACTCGGGACTTTCGTGTCCATGGCAGGGGCTTAAAATAATGTTCCAGAAGATACACGATCTTGCTTTTAGGTACACTCCAGTGGTGTCTGGGGGATAATTTCTCTGACTTCATTAATAAAATAATGTGGCAGAAGTGCTCCTTCCCGTCCATAATCCCCTCAAACAGACACCAGCAAACGTAATAACGTGATTGGTTATTCGTCAGATGTAAATTGTTCCACGATTCGTTACAATATGGAACACTGTAAAAAAAAAAGACTTATTTTTGTACCGCCCGCACAAATTTTATGTTGTACAAAGAATTTTCTGCCATTACAACATACACAGATGGAAAATCACCCCAGGATTCATTACCCCTCAGGGTTGCTGTGATATTTGCAACTGCAAAGATTGCCAGTAGCAGTGGAGGGAGAAGTTATGGGACAGTTACAAATGCCATGTAACACCATTTTAATGTACCTGGTTGTGTAAATGGCCTAAGAGAACACAGAGGACATCACTGCCTGCATCTCTAACAATATTTCCTTGATGAAAAAGTGCATATACCTTAAATGGGTTCAAGACACAATTTCATTCCCAATCTTGGCACTCTGTCTTCTTCTCATTCCTTTCACTACAACACACAAATTAACAATGAACACAAACTTGATAAAGGAAGATTCAGTTTTAATGCTGCACATTTATGCTCAATGTAAGCAAAATCAAATATTTCAGTGCGCGATAGTCCATAAATGGGGTTTGTTACCGTTCACGGGAATCTTTTGTCTGCCCAACTTTTAAACAACTGCTTTAATTCCCATCCTGAGCTCAACGATTCCAGTCTTCATCCTACCACGTCTGATTTTTATTGTCCGTGTCACGTCTTTATGCGCGGTTCAGGTTTACGCGTGTTGCACTACCAAACTGCAAAACTGTTAACTACAGAGTAAAAGTCCAGTAGTAAGGAGCTTTGAATCACCTTTTCCTAATAAGGCTAATAACCATTTTATAACATTCGCCACAAAAGAGCACACTTACAGCCCCGTTTTATGGGGCTGACTGCTGGACTTAAATCTGAGGGCAAACACTTTGACACATGAAAGACTGAATGCCCACATGATAAAGGATTGTATTATCATCCCATTCAGCAGTCTCTTACTTTCAGATCTTCTGACCAAAACTTTTTATGCTGTCCAAATACTCACCTAAGTTCTTAAACACTCCCCAATCCCTTCTCTCAACGTGACAGATGACGTTTCATGTCTATACAAAGCAAAAGATAAAATTATATTTTGTATATTTTAATCTTTCTGTTTTCAGACGATAGATGGGGTGACACACATGATTAACGACCGCACAGTGGCAAGCATTCCCCAAATTTAATTAAGCACGACTAACACATGGTGAAATAAATTAACAGATATTTATCAAACCACAATTTTTCTTTTTGCATATAACTTCATTTTATACATTGTATAAATGGTGGTTGCATTTATACAAAACACTACATTCAACATTACACTATAATTTTTTTTTCAGGTAGTGCTACTTATAATACAGTTTGCTTGATTGTCCTTCTGTGAAATTAATGAAGAAATACGAAGTTAGAATGCACGTGGACTTAACATGAAGACAATATAAAATATTTTAAGGGGAAAACTAACATTTGCTCATGTAGAACTGGGGTTTGCAAACGTGGGACAAATTCTGATTCAGATTACCAAGTGGACTTATTTAAAGCAAATGGTGGGGATGAAAACAAGTGAAAACTTTTAAGTTGCCATTTTTATCAGTATTTTTCACAGTGTGAAAATGTGGTTTCCATTTGAAGTACTTCCTTCAAATGGGAAACTAATAAAATACGGACTGACCGCTACATCATAACATTTTCACAAGAAAAATACAACACATTCAACACAATCAATTTACATTTAGTAACTGAAGTACTTTATATATGAGTGCACCTAAAAAGCACAGAAGATATAGAATACTCTTCATGTAAAAGAATAAAGGTTAATAATGAAATGCTCTGAGAGCTGATGAAAGTGAACTGGATGTAACATTAACCATCAACACTTATACATGAACACAAACCAAGGAAAAAAAGTGATGACCGATCAGCTTGCGCATTTATGAAAGTGTCAAGAAAAGCAACTGGAACTTATGAAGCAACAATTCTTTCCTTCACACTTATAAGCAAGAAATGCATCCAAAGGCTAAGTTCAGATATAAAAGTATCGTCTCAAATGCTTATAAATGATTTGTGTAAAAAGTCTTGATTGAACTGTCTTATATCACTGCATAAAAGCAAAACACAGTTATCACAAACAATGAAATATCATCTTCATGAGCCTCACACGTATTGCACTATCCTCACTCAATACAACATTGATCTCAATACGCCCATGACACTTAAACAAGCATTTAACAAACATTTTCACTTTGGTAAATTAGCTTTTCTTCTCTCGTTTCTTTTACAACTAAAAACAGAAGGTATTTACAAAGAATGTGCATCAGCATATTTAAATACAATAATTCTGCAAATTTTCTGCTATTCACAACTCTCAGAAACGCATACCGCCACCACCAACTATAAATGCAATGCAGTAGCAAACCATTCTCAGCAGCTTACTTCCACCCAGTAAACCGTGACATTTTCATTATTTTATGTGAACGTTATTTAATTTAACAGTATGCAGAGGATGAGAGACAGCACTTACCAGGTGGTGGGCTTTCAAGTGCATAAATGAGAACAGGACCACTGATTGCTGTAATTTTTAAAGTGCTGTTTCTCAGTCTCTTTGATCTAGAAACTGCTATCTGAATGACCAAAAATCTTTGAACTGTCCTACAGTTCAATTTCTCTTTGTGACACAATTTTCATCCTGCAGCTGAGGTTTGCACACTAATCAAAATGTAGATTGTGGTTTTCTGGGTCGTGATGCCATTAAGTCATGCAGATTGCTAGAATAACTTTTGAGGAACACGGCACCTTTATTTTTACGATAGGAGCTCAAACCTGAAAATATCACCTTCATCTTAAAAAAAGAGGTTCTACCATAAAGATGGATGTGACACGTACCTCTGAAAAATTGCTAATAACATTCAAGACTACAGAGTGTTAAAGGCAGAAAGCCACAATCCACAATGCTGTAGATGTTCCACATTTTATATTTTGAAGGTGTGCTATGACACCACTGGGTTTTGTAATATTCTCGCAGAAGAACAGTGCTCTAAAGAATCGAGGAGGCGGCTCGCGGCACTACAATATCAAACATCGGGTCTGCAAGAACAAATAATATTCATCTTCAGTTCATCTGTAATTCTTTAAAAGTAATGCTACGTCAATGTTAAAAATAGCAACATCGCATCAACAAACATCTGAGAGAAAAAGCTTCCAGTTTAGAAAAGCATCTTTATCATTAACCCTTGTTGTATGAGAACAGGGGATTTCAACCACCATACTACAGGCCTGCCAACCAGGCAATAACTCCGGGGTTGATGGCTTTGCGGTATGCTAGTGCGATGCACAGTCAGTGTGTTGCACAGACGACAAAGGTTAGAACTTAATATAAAATAAATATGTTTGTTCAAGTACATTGAATTTATTATGTTTCGGTGTAATAATATCCAGTAATAAACATGTAGAGGAGGAAGTTTAAAAATATATGGTTATCTACAACAATCACCGAGTTGAAACAGCCATTTACACATACCGTCATCTGCAACGACTTCACCTTTATTTGCATAAGATTCAATTATTGAAGTTCCTCTGCCTTTGCAAAAGTTAAAGGTTTCACTTATGTAGAACATTTTAAAGTTCCCGAGAGACACTACTTCTACGTTGGAGGGTGACCTGGCCTATGCCACATCTCTGCAGATGCTTCAGACACAGAGGGGATGCAAGATTGTGCACATCTGTAGATGGTAACAGCCACGCTGAATACACTTTAAAGACAATTTTGACACTGAATAACGTCAAATCATTTTCACACTATTTTAATGTGATGGTACTTATTTACTGTGATTTTTTTGTGGGGAGCTTTGAAGGTTTGCATCTACTGCAACAAGTCTCACACAATCAAAGAATTTTGGGAAGAAAGCCAAGTCATTAATGGTACGACTGGTAAAAACAACTTCACTGATTTCATCCTTTGCCTGCAGAATTATAGATGCTGAAGACAGAAAACTTTTTCACCCATGAGAAATCTGATTACTCTGACAATCTCTGCAACATTGCACCGTGATATATATAAAAACATAAAATTTATATTAGAAGACTTTAAGTATCAAAGAGATTTGATTGGCCAAACACTGTTCTTCATAATTCCAAATGTCCTGCCATCTCACACACAAACATAATAATAACTTCACTGGCGTCAAGCCGTCTTCCAATGCTATCACATTTACACCTTCACTTACAGAAATATTCAATGTGCATTTATACACGCTCTTATTGTTATATTACTACATGTAATGTACAAGTGAATATTATAACATTTTCACTATTTCTTTACAATTTTAAGACAGAATAGCACTTTGGGTACTTTGTGTTATGTACAAACCAAACAGCTCTATACTGCAGTTTTGCTATAATGCATACAAGACAGGCACCCCAGTGGATTCACATCACAAAAAGAGAACAGATATTATGCTACTTACTCATAAATCATTGCTCATTCGACCACGAGCAGCACAATACACTAACAGCACTATAAAATCACGAAGATTATGAGTGAAGAAATAAACGAATCTTTATTTACAGACTGAAAAACTATATACATTATAACTCATGAGTATCAGTATGACTATATGCATCCTTGTAACTACAGGACTCAAAAAGAATCAATCCTGAAACACAACTTTTCCTGAGTCCTCTTTTCTTCTTCTTATAACTTCAGTCTGCTGACAACTGTTAGAGTGCTTACTTTATATTTCTATTGCATTCTATAATAATCCATATGTGTCATATTAAAGTAAAATGGGTTTCACATCTTATATGAATGTTTCTTACATCATTACGTAGTTCAGTAGCTACAGTGAAAATCACACACGCACACAACACACATAAGATTATGAATATAAAAATTATACGACGTAATGAATTTTTGCCTTGAGGATTTAATAATGATACTTACTAAAACTTATTTTATTATCAATCACACTGTGTTTTTTAATGTAAAAATAACCTAGAAAATTAGAAACCTACATATGGTCTCTTATTTCGGTGGAATTATATGACTTAGTTATTAAGGGAATGTACTTTACTCTTACTCGTGTACCTGTGTATCTCAATATCTCAGGTTAATTCATCCACTTCCTGCAGTTGGGTGCACCACAGTTACAAGGAATCTTATGCTGATCGTCTTCAATGTCAAACTTGTAGTCATACGCCAGCTGAAATTAAGAGTACAGTCTGTTTCAGACCTCTATAAAAGTCATGCAGTACGACGTGTAATTCTGAAGATGGGTAAGGCTACTACAGTCAGTACAGAAAAATGTAGCAGCAGTCAGGAAGATGAAAGTTTGAAAAGATAAAATGAGCACCAAAACAATCATGGAATAAATTTATAAATCATTTACATGAAAATAAAAATATTATCTGATATAATTAAAAATAAATCCAAACCAATGTAAAATAACATCACAATAACTGATAAGAATGGGACAATAGTAAATACTTAAAAATACAACTGCAAAAAGAACAGGCAAGTAATACTGAACAAACAAATACAGAAAATATGATTATGTTTGATACTGATATTTCCATCGCGAGCATAAATAATAATAAAGTCACAGGAGATGATGGAGTGATAGCAGACACGATAAAAGCAACAGGACCAGTAGGAATTCAGTGGATACAGAGAACCTTGAGAAGGATGTGGCAATAAAATGAGATTCCAGATGACAAGAGGAAATATGTGACAGTACTCATACCAAGAACAAATTTAAATTAAGATTTAATAGACCTATATAATTCACTTGCATGATTAATCACATTCTCATTTCCAATATTTTTTTAAAAAAGGACGGTTAATGCAGAATGAGCAACTTTTTACCCACATCTATAAAGTAAGTTTAAAATGCAGCAGAACACCAGATACTGCAATATTCATGATCTGTGCTATTTTATATTTCTATCCACTTTTGCTAATGGGTGTATTTGGTTTTATGTTTCCAAGGTTTTAATTTCAACACTTTACTCCTTTGCTCATTCTTACACAGTATAGAAAAGGAACACTGAACTTTCATACTACAATAAAATACAAAACAATACAATTTTGTTTTTCAGAACATAATTCCGTCAACTCTAAAGGGATGGTAAATTACACTTAAAGTTACTCATTGCCTGGAATTTTCCCATCATCCTGATTTCTTCTTTTTTCAACAAGGATGATGGAAAAAGTCCAGACAATAAATAATTTTAAGTGTAATTCCCTCAGTTGGAGATGGCCTCAGAAAGTACTGGATCAGTTTCACAAGGATGTTCCAGCAAAGAACAGCAATCACAACTGGCACAAACTGATCCTGGAGACTGGGTGTTTGTGTAGTGGTTGACCCAAAAGCATCTGATGAAACTGCCGAATGAGTGGGGTTCTTGTTATTTTGCAGCCCTCTGAAGCCAGGCTCCACATGTAGACTTGCATATAGCAGCATCTTCATTTATGAGTTCCCACAGATACAAATTTGGATGTGCCACTGAAATTGGGGCAGTACCACAGAAAAAGGGACAGTCTCTGCCAATTAGATTAGTATCATATGGTGATTATGCGATGATGTGGTAGGTGTTTGGCATGCGAAGGGGAGAGTAAAGAAGAGATTGGAGAAATGGTATAGATGACGCATAAAAATGGCAGAAGTCACAGCAATAGAAAGGAAAATTTCAGAACCTCCTTTGCATCCCCTGTCATGATGGTGACCAACCTAACCTTGACGAGTGTCCAAGTAGCAGCACAAACGCATACACATCAGTTTGTTTTAAGAACTGTCTAAATGTGCGCGTGCTAACAATTATGACGATAAAGTACATAGATCCACTAATTTTGATACTGCATCAAATACTGTCAACACATAAATTTTCCAACACATGTATCAATGATATAAATGCTATTTGTTACACTTTAGAGCTTAATCAGATCCAAACTGAAGGTGTTTAAGAGGCAAAAACAAAGCAACAGTTTATAAAACCAAAATTTTAAGTTCCTCTGAAAAAACTCTGATTCAAAAAGGAGAAATGAAAACTGAGGGAAAAACCAAACAAAAGCTATAGCTCGAAGTATAAAAATCAGGATTTAACTGTAACTATCAAACACTGACCTCTTCTCCACGGGAGATCCGTCTCTTTGCAAAGATGATTATCCTAAGATCTCGCTCCACTTCTACAATCTCAGCCACACAGTTTGGGTTGCATGAGTGGTTAATGTATCGAGCAAGTCCTCCTGACAAAGTGGCATCCACAACACGATCTTCATCCAGGCGGAACATATAAATACCACGATTCTGCAAAAAGAAGTAATAGCATGTTCTTGCTCTACAGTTCCAGCATACAGCACCCAGAAAAAGGGAGCCACCATGTGTGTGGACAGTCCAGTTTCCTTTCCTCACAAAACACATGGTGGTGTTATGTTACTGCACCTGTCCTTGTGTACCTTCCCTCCAGCAAAATGCATTCCATTTATATCACCAGGATTACAACAGAAAGTGCAAAGTTATCAGAACATATATCATGGCAAGCACAACTGCTGGTTAACAGATACAATGAGCTTTATTCCTCCTCTTTGACTTTTCATCTAATGACAAGGGCTGGTATTCCAGCTGGGGGCTTGAACAGAGACTTAGGGTACGTACAAGACGGAGCCTAGAAGGTCGATGGTAGCCGGGAAGGTAGCAAAGCAGAAGCCGAGAGCGTACACAATGACACTTGTTCCAGGCTTATCATTCATGCTGACTCATTTCCGAGACTGGTAGTTGACGACTAGACGTGCCTGTAGAAACTATGTATTCAAGTAGTGGCAGCGACTATGAGGAATTACTGGATAGTTGTGCTTCTAAATGGTTCTTGTTGCAACAAGAATCATCTCTGTGGGAGTATCAAGTGCATCCAGTCAATGTTGACAGAAATAATTTTGGAGAATAGCACCATCTTTATAAGAAGTTAAGAAATTATCCAAGTCGATTTTTCGAATATTTAAGAATGGAAATTGAAACCTTTGATTATCTTTTGAGTGTGACAAGTGAAAAGATAGAGACGAAATTGAAAAACTGCCATGGAAATCCCATCGGGCAGGAAGAATAACTTGTGCTTACTTTGAGATAGGCTAAAATAGTTTTTGTGCCAATGTGCAGTAATATATATGTTTATCATAAGACATAGGCCGACGTATAATTACGTTTATTTTGCACTAACATTCATTCTGCAATGTTAATTACATAAGATTTTTTTTCGTAGGTATGTACGGGCCAAAATACTCCAAGCACCAAGATTATCAGATATGCTTTCAGAATGTATGTCTGTACGAATCAAATTCCTTATTTGTAAACTGCGTAATAAAACGCAAATCAACTTTTCCACGTTCATTTTACACGGCACCCGTAACTGACATACAAATTCATTACCCGCATGGAATACAAATCGTACTTTGCGCATGCGTGACTTCCGAGCTGGTCGCTTCAAGGGACTGAAAGAATGAAAGATTTCATTCTTCCAGCAACCAGCGAGCTGGCAAGCGACCGACCGCATTCCGGCCCGGCCTCGTCATGTTCACTCATATTTAAAATACACTGTTCCATTCTTCATGCTAGGTGACCATCCCGGTTACCAGCGACCTCCTAGGCTCCGTCTTGTACGTACCCTAACCACCCCTCACCAAATATACAGAATTATGAGGTTGATTAAGTCAAGGTGTTAGAGAGATGTATACAACATATCAACTGCAAAATGTGAAATAAGAGATAGCACTGGGTCTTTGTAAAACAGGGTGTGGACTAAATTTTACTGGTCATCAAAGGGCCTATTGGCTGAATCTTGTGAACAGAACAAAGAACCTTTAGATTTCAAAAGATGTGGGGAACATATTGACCAACAAGGCTACTATCTATTTGACAAGATGAATTCTGATCCATGCAGTGAGTCGTTAGAACTGAAACCCACATCAGCGGCAGGGCGGGGGGGAGGGGGGGGGGGGGGAAGGAAGAAGAAGAGAGAGAGAAGAACAACATATTCTAAGGAAGGTATCAGAACCCAAGAGTAAAATATTAAGTGTGGAATCCAGTATGTTAAATAATAAAGAACTTGACACTTCATAGAGCTAGCTGAATATTAAATGAAGTTCGCTGCAATGACCTCAGATAGGGAAAATAAGAAATGTAATAGGTTTTTCAATGGGCAACTTACCGAAAACTAGTCATCTGGTTGACTGGAGAGACAGATGTGAGGATAAAGCTAAGATGAGTCTTAATAAACTAGACTGCACAGGTTAAAGACTGTGTCATGGCTGATTATGCTTTACTGATGCTGAAACTTCCAATTCTGTTATCAGACAGGTATTTAGAGACTTCACTATGACAAAGACAATGAAGAAATTTATAAAGTTGTGATTTGAATGTTTATCTATTGGGTTGTAATACAACATTGGTTTGTAGGTAGGTACCAACATTTTGAAGAAAAACACTGCCTCCACCATCACTGAAGACAGGGGTAGTACATTCCTGAGCAACACTGGTACCTGCCTACAAGTGCATGTGGCATCACAAGCCAGGGACCAACATTGACATTTTCACTGCAGTGAGAACTTTACAGTAACAATTTTATCAATAAAGTATATTCTGCTGAGTTTCCTTACTAGCTCCTCTGACAGAATTTTTTTCGTGAAAGTCAGAAACAGTTTATATACACATATATATGCATGTGTTTATACGCATATACAAACCACTCCATGAAGAAAATAATAAAAAATCTCATTTATAAGCTGCATCAAGCAAGTTAAAAGACATTAGTTACAATAATTTTGTGACAAACATTCGCACTGTACATTCTGTCTGCCAATCCTGTGAATATGCAATTTTAACTACAGCAGTGTCACACTGTGAGCCAAGTTCCACTGTTACCCATCAGAATAATATAAGTTCATGTGACAAAACTACTTGACTACTTCTCATGTTTCTTAGGTCATGGATTATTTTAGAACACAGTGCACCTCTCTTGCTCAAGTGATGATACAGTTGTCCCACGCGCATTTTGCATGCAGTGGTTGAATATTCGGCAGCCACTGCTAAAATGACAGAGGCAGAAAGAAAGAGACAGCATACACCATCTGCTGCCGAGGATAATGTATTTGGGTTGCAGCCTATCCTATCTCCCCCCCCCCACCCAAAACAAAGAAACAGAGTTATTGGTTTATGTGATGTATGGGAGGACTGTCACTCATGTTCATTGGACGACGTGACCTTTGAAACAAAGTAATTTACCTCTCATTATTTCATTCAGTTTTATTCATAAATGTATTCTCCTACAGAACAAATGTTTAAGTATTTAATATTACTGAAACACTTGCATTGATTTTATGTGCCAAAACAATAATAACAACACTTTCTAAGTGATATGGACCAACTACCTTACCATTAAAAAGGAAACCGATTGATTAAAATTCACTCTTAGTCTCAGGGTATGCAAAAATGTGTGCGCGCGCATGTGCATACAGGCATGTGTATATGAGGGAAGCGTGATGCTAGTTACATGAAAGTAAAAAGTAAAAGTAAAGATGTCCCATGATACACCATGTAGGCACTTGGGGAAGCTCCTACTTATTCTTAATCTCGGCACTAAGTGGGGGCAAGTGGTTAGCGTCACGCCCTGGCCTTGCTTTACCCCTGGGAAAGGACCCCAGTACCCATTGGATAGGAGACTGGGTGGGCCACAAAGCCAGTCTGGATGCAGAGGCTAGTGAAAAGATCATCTCCCCCTTACGGGGATCAAACCCCAGTCATCTAGTCCATAGCCAGTAACTATACTGACTGATAACATCTGAACATTGTACTTCTGATTAAAAAGTAGGAAATAATTCCAGCAATTTTAGACAAATCAATACTTACTCGGGCCTCATACTGCTTCTCTCGCAGCTCAGACAGTTCTGTTCGGATCACCTCACCAATATATTCAATCACCATGGTGTGGCGCTCCAAATCCCTAGCAGCATACAGACCCAGACCTTGGATTTTGGATCTAAAATGATCACCATACAGCTACTGTTAGCATATTATGGGTCAAGTAGTGCAGAACATAGTGCTTTGGTCTTTTCCCATCATCACAACAATCACCTGTTAAAACCAGTATATCTCAAGCTTCAAGATATTTATTTTAAAACACTAATATCTACTAGAAGTGCAATGTAAAAATTTTATGTACTCTTCCTATAATAACCCAAAACAAAGAAACAGAGTTATTGGTTTATGTGATGTATGGGAGGACTGTCACTCATGTTCATTGGACGACGTGACCTTTGAAACAAAGTAATTTACCTCTCATTATTTCATTCAGTTTTATTCATAAATGTATTCTCCTACAGAACAAATGTTTAAGTATTTAATATTACTGAAACACTTGCATTGATTTTATGTGCCAAAACAATAATAACAACACTTTCTAAGTGATATGGACCAACTACCTTACCATTAAAAAGGAAACCGATTGATTAAAATTCACTCTTAGTCTCAGGGTATGCAAAAATGTGTGCGCGCGCATGTGCATACAGGCATGTGTATATGAGGGAAGCGTGATGCTAGTTACATGAAAGTAAAAAGTAAAAGTAAAGATGTCCCATGATACACCATGTAGGCACTTGGGGAAGCTCCTACTTATTCTTAATCTCGGCACTAAGTGGGGGCAAGTGGTTAGCGTCACGCCCTGGCCTCGCTTTACCCCTGGGAAAGGACCCCAGTACCCATTGGATAGGAGACTGGGTGGGCCACAAAGCCAGTCTGGATGCAGAGGCTAGTGAAAAGATCATCTCCCCCTTACGGGGATCAAACCCCAGTCATCTAGTCCATAGCCAGTAACTATACTGACTGATAACATCTGAACATTGTACTTCTGATTAAAAAGTAGGAAATAATTCCAGCAATTTTAGACAAATCAATACTTACTCGGGCCTCATACTGCTTCTCTCGCAGCTCAGACAGTTCTGTTCGGATCACCTCACCAATATATTCAATCACCATGGTGTGGCGCTCCAAATCCCTAGCAGCATACAGACCCAGACCTTGGATTTTGGATCTAAAATGATCACCATACAGCTACTGTTAGCATATTATGGGTCAAGTAGTGCAGAACATAGTGCTTTGGTCTTTTCCCATCATCACAACAATCACCTGTTAAAACCAGTATATCTCAAGCTTCAAGATATTTATTTTAAAACACTAATATCTACTAGAAGTGCAATGTAAAAATTTTATGTACTCTTCCTATAATATTTACAAGACACTGCTCACCTACAACTGACTATGTTTATATGCACATGCATTCCTGTGATTCTACCATGTTGTCCTACATTTATTAACTTCATAATGCAGTATTCAGTGGATCCGTATGTATTGACAGAATTCTGTAGGCTAACAGAAACTGTGAGGAAATGGTAGCAACTATTGCAGTGCACAACTGCTCATTTGAAAGGTATAAAACTATTCTATTTTGGACAAAGAAGTAATCCATGCCGGTATAAATGTTTTATACTCATATGATACATAATTAATGTCTCTGTACATTCCAACACACAGTAACTTTAATTTTGCCAAAGTACCGCAGAGATAGAATTTAGCCCAGCTATGCTGTAATGTAAATATTATATTGCTCAGTAGGTAACTCATGAATTATATCGGGTGTTCTAAAACTATAATGACAAACTTGCATGCAGCAAACAACAGTGAATCCTGCATTTGAGGATCAGCATAGGATATATCACAAAGCACATGAAGTTCAATGTTTTAATCCATACATCAGACATGACATTATGGTAATTGTTCAAACTGTTAGCCATTAATCTCAATACAAACTGACGGCACCTCATCAGCGACTCATCCTTCTTCACAAAGACCCCTGTCATATTTTGTGTCCTGTCACAGGCTGCATGAATTCATTATTCATGGCTGTAGGTCTTCCTTCTATTCAACAACTGTTTTGTACATAAGGCTTTTGAGATACGAGGTGCGATCGGAAAGTTTCAAGACCGTGTCAATAGAGGGCGAACCGGATGTAGTACGAGCTTCTGCCGCTAGGGGGCGCGGCCTACATTCATAGTGAATCAGTGTGCCAGCCGGCATCATCGAATTAGCATTTGTTTCTTAGTTACGGGCGTTTTGGTAGTGCATTACCCCGACCCTCCTGCAATTTCGGAATGGCATGTGCATCAAATTTTGCCAAAGACTCGCCAAAACGGCTACGGAAACCTATGAAATGCTAAAGCAAGCATTTGGGGAGTCCGCAATGGGTCGTGCACAAACTTTTGTGTGGCATTCACGTTTTAAAAATGGCCGAACCCCTGTCGATGATGACGAGCGTTCTGGACGACCATCTTCGAGCACAACGCCCGAAAATGTTACGAAGAGTCGGCAGGCCATTCACGAAGATCGACGTCGTACCATCAACGACTTGTGCGACATTGTTGGGATAGACTATGGGA